ATGGTTGGCCACCCACCTGTGGCTAACAATTCCCCAGGTCATGCTGGGAACAGTGAAGACTAAAAAAAACAGGGCACTTCAGCTACTGTGACATCAATCTTTCTCCTTTCGAAAGCTCAGGGACAATCTTTTTTCAGTTTAGAAGAAAATACCCTGGGCAGGAAAACTGCAAATCCTGGCAGCTGCCCAGAAGAGAAAGATGGAGAAGAAGAGTGAAGTATATCATTTGTTTGTCAGTCTTCTTCTTTTTAAAAAAAAATGCAAATAAATTTGTTTCTCAAACATTTCCACCTGAAACTCCTTTAAAGACCCCATCCCATGTTGGTAATCATTCACTGTCTTACCACTTAACACAGAATACCGACAGGGTGATAAGGGCCGGATGAAAAAAAAAAAAAAGGAACTGAAAACCATTCCAGAGAACATAAGAATCACTTCCCCAAGATCTCAATGGGAGGATAGGGAGAATGATGAATCCCGAAACAGCCAACAGAAGAAACAATCGCAGATTGGCATTTTTCTTCATAGCTTCATAATATTTAACATGGCCTTGTTAGGTAGAGGCATAGCAGATCTCAAGGACCTCTGAAAGGGTTATGTCCGAATCTAACCTCAAAGGATGATCAGAAATTGGAGGACGGGAAAAAAAAATTAAAAGAATCAGCCTGCAAAAGTAAAGACACCAACAGATGCAGATTAAATCAAGTTAGCAAAGATCCAAACGTTTGCTAAACTATGAAAAAGTAGGTACTCTCATACACTGCAGGGGAAAATACACCTGTGTACTGTTTTTCTCATTGTAAATACAAAAAAAAAAAGGTAACTTAAGGAAGACATGGTTAACTCTGGATCGAGGTTTAAAGGGATACAGTCCAGTTTGGTGGAGAGACGGCAGCCGGAGTGCAAGCTGCTGCTCACACTGTGTCCCCCATCGACAAGCACTCTGGGACACCAGCTCATGGCATGATGCTGTGCACACTCCTTAATCAACTCAGGATACACCTTCACAGACATATTCAAACACAACACCCTCCTAGACACTTAAGAGGACTGTCTCCTAGGTGACTCCACCTCCAACCAGGATAACAATGAAGACTGACCATCATGGAAGGGTACAGTGTCTGAGAGGCAACATGAGAGACCTATTAATATTTCAAATGCACATGCCTTTTGACTCATTCACGTCTCGGTATGTGTACTAGAACTTCATTCTTATATATATGAACACAAGATTATTAATGCAGCAGGTGTATTTGGTAGAAAAACCAACCAACCTAAGAGCTAAATAAGACATGCATAAAATGAAATGTATCTGTGCAGTTAAATAACAGTGTGAATGTTCAGCGTGAGAATCTGCTTAAGTGCTGCTATGCTAAAGAAAAGCTATGGGATGAGGTAGAGAAAAGGCACTTCACTGTGCTGATTCACACACAGAAATTATTTCCAAAAGGAAACACAAGAAATGAATAAACAAGTTACTTTCAGGGGCCAAAACTGAATAATGGGCAACAAGAAGGAAAGACAGCATTAATTTACATTCGAAAAGTTTTAATGTGCTGCTGATCCACAAATAGTTCAAATTAAATCAGCACATCTAACAGACATTAAAGTCACTTAAGATTGGCAAAATGTGAAGTTCTACAAATAAGCAATAAAGCCCAAAAGGCAGACAAGAGTCCTTGTTTATGTGTCGCAGAGTATGGCCTGGTAATCACTTGAAAACAGTAAACTGGTGAAAGATAGATAAATAGACAGACAGACAGACAGATGTGTAGGTCCCTGGATCCATTCATAGTAATTTTTGAAAGCACAGGAAACTGGTAATAAATTAATAAACTAACAAACAAATAGATGTACACAGGTCTCTGGCATTCAGCCATAGTAATTTTTGGCATATGCTTCAGAGAAGCAAAGTGTAGGAATTCTCTACACTGAATCAGAACCATGAGCAGGAAAGTTCAAGAATCTGCACTCTAGTAAGTTCCCTGGGTGAAGCAGCAAGCCTCTAGGTACTGACAAACAGGGGAGCCAAGCAGCCAGATGTTCAGCCTTAGATAGATCACGCTGGAGCCTGTGGCTGGAAGACCTGACAGCAACAAGGTTCAGCCTAGAACCCTGGCGGCACACCAGATCATGATCTTTAATTTGGTAACTACTTACACAGCTGACTGCGTAAGTATGTTGGAAAGAACTATGTGCTCAGGAGCTACTTACAACGTAAGCCACACCATTTTTTTTTTCTCAAAGGAAACAAAAGCAAAGCATTACATCTCCACCAAAGAACCAGCTATGAAGACAATAAACGGAAATAATCTAATCCAAAAGACGCAGCTTTAAGTGAACTTATTTTATCTTACTGTAGCTAAGAAAGGAAGCCATTAAAAATGGTTCCTCTGAAGTTAGAACAGAATTCGAAGAAGCAAAGTGAAAACTGCTTCTTTCTTACTGAATTTGTACAATTAAGTACTTTAAATAAAACTTACTTTGGCTAACAAGGTGTGTTTTGGGAAAGAATATCCTACTCGAATCATCTGAAGTCTAATGTGTGACTGCCAAGGAGGCCTGTTAATGGCTCTGCCTCTGCCACCAGCTGTATTCCTTACGGTACAAACAGGCTGTTAATAGCAGTCTGTCTTTGCAGGATCATGGAACTTGCAAAAATCCTTGACTAAAGTCTTCCATTTCCCAAGATAAGTCATTAGCCAATCAATGGGACAAAAGGCAAGACTGAAATAATACAATACTACCAGGAAGGATAATTGAAAGTCAAACTTCTGCCCCAAGCTGAAGGGATACTTCATGTAACTCTTTAACCTTTCTACAAAATCAGAAAACCAGAGGTTTCCATATAGAAAACTACACTGGCATTCTGGCCATCATATAATATTTTCATTTTAACAAGTACTCCAAATAGGAAACTATTTTGCACTAAAAAAACACAACCAATGTAACAAAAGAGAAAGTAACAAAACCTTGACATTACAAAGTAGTTAAAGTTCCAGTGACCTGGTCATTTTCTTTTATAACCAATTCATGCAAGTTTTACCCCACCAATACATTGAGCAATGTAAAATTCTTTCATTCCTACCTTCTACAGAATTCCACGGTAGAAGAACTTCACACAGCCTGGTATCCCTTAGCTATTTGTATCCAGGCTACAACTAATACAGTCTCACTGCAAATACTGTCTTTAACATCAATGCAAAACCAACTCCTACCAGGAAATAAGAAATCCAATAAAAGAGAAGCAACAAAACTATTTCACCTCTGCCTCTTGGTGATCACAAAACTGTTGTACGGCCCAGCAGTTATACTTCAAAGCTGTCTTATTCACCCAGTGGCATTCAAATATTAAGAGAGTTCTCCACTCACAGAGGGAGTTTGAGTTCTTAAAGACACCAATTATTCCTACATTTTAAGAGGTTTTAATGGTGGCAATCTAGTTCGGAGATTCAGGGGTTAATCTCAATTCTGACACCATCCGTTTTCCAGAGTCCTTGAAATAATTTCAAAACGCAAACTTCAGAAAGGACCTTGGAAGCTATTTAGTGCAACCAACCCCTCAGGAACTAGGTGAACGAACTCTTGAAAGCTAACATCACAGTAAAAAAGTTAGATTTCACTCAGGAGGTCCAGAGACAAAAACAAAACAAAATAAAACAAACAAAAAACCCGCAGAGGAGAAATCAGTCACACAGAACCAAGGAGCGCCTTGAGCTCCTACCGGGCCACCCCACCCTCTGTCTTGTACACGTGAAAGTACCAGTTCACCTTTTTTCTTAAGTGTACTATTTTAAGAAAAGAAAGGCTTAGGCCAAAATTGTGTGAGACTACGCACACATGGTATTTCACAATTTCTAAAAGGTGAACTATGCAAAGTTGGGCACATCACCAAAAGGACACACCTCTTTTTCCAAAATAGAAACAAAATTCTTCCATCTGGCCAGCAGTTCCCTCACCTCGCTGAATTCACTTCACTCCATTGCACAAAGTACCCAGTCAAGCTGCCGACATTCTCTAATACTGCCAAGTGTCTTCTCCGCACACTTGGGGGAAAGAGAAAAATCTGCACCCTGACTTCTACCAAGTGACCCCTCCCCTTTAACTTGCCAATCAAACAAGACTGACAAGATGCCGCAGCTAAGCCAAGATTTTTACAATTTGGTTTTCCTGTCTCAAGAAAAAGTGCAGAGAGGTATCACCAGGATTTTAGAATAGGCAGCCTACCTGTTCTTGTACATAACTGAATAACGGTTATATATACATTTAGTTCTAAAGCTTTTGGATGTCTGGAGTCAACAATTACAGATATAATGGGGGGGGGGGTCTAGAAAAATTGCTAACAGCAGTTAGGGAAGCTCAAGCTGTGGGTTCAATCCCAACCAAACACATAAACGCGTGGCTGTGGGCACCTGGCAAAGCTATTAGTAAATACACCAAATATGGAGTATCACGGAGGCCCTGTTACTTCCGAGGCATGGGCTCACACCTTCACCCATGATCCTGCTTACTTATCCCTCATCTGACCTTCCTACCAAAAAAACACATCTCAGGTCAACTTTCCGGCCTTGCTGTCCAGGTGCTTTTCAAGCGGCCGGGGCCCCTGGCCCGGCGACCACATTCCAGCAGGGCTTCCCTGGCCAGGCCTCGGTCCCCGGGCGTGAAGGGGGTGTGACCGCGGCACCTCGGCCTTCCTCCGCGGCTGGCCGCAGCGCCCGAGAATTACTTCTCCGGGCGGCCTGGGGAGGGGACCCCGGGGCGAACAACCGTCCCCACCTCAGCGGTCGGAGCCTGTACTCCCGAGGCGGGGACGAAGGCACACGTGGCTTCCCAAGTCCGGGTCGCAGAGGCCCCCCTCCCAGGCAGGCTTGGGGCGCCCCACTCCCGCGCTAGACGACCGGAGGGAGGCCGTCGGGCTCGGAGGGTACCCCGGCGCCCGCGGGGCTCAGCCGCACCGCCACCCCCACCCCGCGGCGCCGGCCGTCCCCGGCGGGACCCACCAGCTGCTTCAGATCCTCCTCCGAGAGCTCCGCATAGCGGTACCGCTGCTGCTCGAACTCGTAGCGGGTGGTTTTCGACACCACCACCACCCGCGAGGGGCGGAAGCCGCCGTCGGCGGGGCTCCCACCGCCCGCCAGCTCGCGCGGCTGCCCGTGCCCCGGGGGCCGCCGGCCGTCTGCCCCCGAGCCCCGCAGAGCCGCCCGGCCACCCGCCACGCGCCGGCAGCTGCCCAGCAGGAAGCCCCGGTAGCAAGTCATGGTCCGCGGGGCTGCGGCTGCACGATCGCGCTCCCCGCCGCCAGCACCGAGCCGGGCGCGCAGAGGTTAAGCGCGGGGACGAGCGTGCCCAGACGCGGGCCCGGGCCGCGAGCCCCCGGGAGGGCCGGGGAGGCGGGGAGCGGGGCCGGCCTACGGGGCCGGGCTTTATTTGTTTGTTTATCCGTTTGCCCTGGCGCCTGCGCAGTGGCCTCCCGGCCCGGCCCCGCCTCCCGCTCCGCCCCTTCGCGGTGGCCGCTCTGCGCCCGCCCCCAGGGCGGCTCTGACAGCTAACCCGAGTTCGGGAAGGGTTGGGAGCCCGAGGGGGCTGCGGGGATTGGCCGCGGCCGGGAACCGGCCGGAACTCTATTTGGCGTTTGAGCTGCCAGAAGAAATCCAGCTGGAACCGGTCTGAGGCGGCCTAGCGGGTGCGGGCGGAGGTTTGAGCGCCTGGCGGGAAGGCGGCTGCTTGCGCACCTCTGCGCCGCCGTGTTTTCATTGTTGCCTAGCTCTCTGGGCGGCTGCCTTCCCTGTGCCGGTGACACTTTAGCCGGCGTCTGCTGGACGGCGGGTGCGTCCACCTCCCGAGGAAGAGCTGAGGTCGCTGGCCTTGCCCCGAGCGAGCCCTTTAGAGAGGAATTACAGATACGGACAGGATCACAGAGCTCAGAGACCTCCGCGGCACGACCCTGTGACCGCCAAGGCCCACCAGCCTAGAGAGACAGTGCCGTCAGTGAGACACGTGGGGGTTAAAGAGGGAAGGAGCTTGGCCTCGTGAGCGTGCGTGTCCGTCTACACCGGGAGATAAAGGACGGCCGGACTGAGGGGTTAGGAACTTTCACAATTTGCACTTTATATCCTGTAGGCGGCCCGCAAAGAAGCGAGTTCAAAGCAGTGTTTGATGATTATTGATCTGGCTTTGGAATGTTGGGCAGCCTTGGAAGCCAGAGCGAGGTAGGACTGGGGGTGGGGGGTGGGGTTGCTGTCAGAGTGTGTGGGGACAGTTACACAACCATAGACATGGGAAAGTCATTCTGAAGGAAAATCCCGTAAGACAGTACACATCCAGGTTTGTGGCCCCTGCCCCTGAGGTCCTTGCTGTACCACCCACTTTTCTTCGCAGCCCTCGCACTCCCAGTAAATGGCCTCCGGATTCCAGGCACGCGTTTTCAGAGATCTCTGTAAAAGACCTGTGTTCTCTCCACACCACAGAAAACTAGTTTGGACTCCCACTCCCAGGAGCCTTATTTTGGATCTCTTGTGCCTCTTTCAAAGCATTGCTTCATTACACCATCTTCCCTGGTGTACCTTGGATTCTCTCTCCCTGCTGGATTTTCCACCTCGGTTCTTAAACATACCCGTGCCTATGACATTTAAAACGGAATAAAAGGAACCTTCTAAGCCGCAGTTGTTTTCTTTTTCCCATCAACCCTTGACATACTCAGTGGTCCTCAATCTGAGGGTATCGAGCTCTTTGGGGTCACATATCAGATAACCTGCATATCAGATATTTACTATTCATAAAAGTAGCAAAATACAGTTATGAAGTAGCTGGTAACAAGATAATTTTATGGCTGGAGGTCACCACGACCTGAGGAACTATATTAAGCGGTTGCAGCTTTATGGAAGGTTAAGAAGCACTGCTACGGGTTCTGGACGGAGTAATCTGTGAATTCTTGCCACCAACCTTCTCTTTTTTGATGGGGAGCAGAGCAGGGGTAGAGGCTCTTAGTTGTAATCCATCTTTGACCAACACTTCACCTTCTCCCTATGCTTACTTTGCTACTATTTCCAAAGTTACCAAATGACTCGATTGAAGCTCAGAAGATGCTATTTGGTCCTTAACTCATTTGGTTTTGTGGAACACCGGAGTGGCTCAGATCTTTCTGGAGTATTTGGCTGTTGTTTCTCAGCACACCAGTCCCTAGGGGTTTTCCTCCCCCTCTCAGCCCCATCTTGGGTTTTTCCTAGGCCCATGTCTGGGGTAGAGCTCCTGCCCTGGACTCAACATTCTGTCTCCTCATGTCCTCCCCCACTCCGCTCTCCTTGATGAATCCGTCTGATGTTGTGTAATGAAGCACTTGGGCCTTGAAAGACTGACTCAAATCCCAGCTTTAGTGTGTATTTACTTTGTGAACCTTGAACTGGTTGCTTAACCTTTCTGAGCCTATTTTCTTATTTATAAAATAGTAGCTACCTTGTATACATGTACATAAATGAATACCTAAACCTATGTCCACTGTAAATTAGACCCTACAAATATTAGCCCCTTTGTCTTAAATTATTTCAGCTGTTACCAACATAGTTAGCCTGTATTATTCTCCTGAACTTCAAATCCTTATTTGTAGCTTATTATAGAATGATGGCTCTACAGTTCAAATATACAACACATTATCAGTGGACACTAAATTATATTTGAATGGAACACCGAAACAGGTGATGGCAATTGAATGATAGAGTCTTTGTTCTTCAAGAGCCTAAAGATTATACAATGGTAGCATTTTACGGAGTGCTTTATAAGACGTAAGAGGAACAGGTTTGGGGAAATGTCCTGGGAATGTCTTGAACTAACATATAGTAAAATATTAGTGTCATCAAGACCGAGAAAGGAATTCTGCAGAAGAGCAAGCATAAACAAAATGTACAGACCCAGTAATGCAGCAATTCTGAATTCCTTGTGAATTGTGAGCAGTAGAAAGTACTTGGAGGCAACACTATAGATACAGATGGGGGAAAGTCCCTGGCAAGTGTTATATCTACGCTAAGAAACTTGACTTTTATGCTTTATATACTAGAAAGTAACAAAAAGGACGAGATGGCATAATTAGCTTCGAAAAATCAGAAAAAAAAAATTCTCAAAAGAAACATATGAAGTATAAACCCCTGAAGAGATGTTCAGTCATACTAAAAATCAGAAAGATATAAATTAAGGTCAGAGTGAAATAGTTTTTATCCACTAGATTGATAGAAATTAAAAAATCCTAGGAATATTCTAGTTAGAAGACTACCAAACCATGAAGACCGTAATAGGCTAAACCATTCATCAATCATTTCAATTTCAATTTCACCATTACTACAGTTTATAAACACTGTCTTAGAAGTTCTAATATATCCTTATATTCCAGCTTGATAAAAAAAAAAATCAGTATACTACAGTATATATAGTAGGTGTGATCTGACTAATGCAAAAACACAAAACTCAGGGAATTCTTTGGATGGGGTATCAGTTTCACATACTCTCAGACCAAAAAAAAGAAAAATTAGGTTACCAAATTTCAAACTCTAATTGCAGTCATATAATATGGCCAAGCCAATGTGGTTCTCTGATGAATGATCCAAGCAGCTACACGATAGCCACATCTTAAGCCAATGTTACTGGTCCTAACATTTTATGAAAATACTGTCATTAGTAATCTGCAGTTTGCAGATATCCAGAGGTCTTAAGATGTACTCTTTCCAGTCTCTGCAACACTCATGTACATGTGACTGTGAAAGCTGCATACCCTCTTTATAACATTTCTGTAGTCTAGGACTTGTATAGATATTTTTCCCTGAGGTTGAAGGCACCTTGCTTTGGTAATAGTGGATGTGTGTGGTGGTTTGAGAAACGGCCCCCATAGGTTCCAGTATTTGAACATATAGTCTCTGGTTGGTGACACTGGAATAAGTTATAGGACCTTTAGGAAGTATGTCAGGGGCTTGGGCTTTGAAGGTTTGTAACCTGGTCCCACCTCCAGTTCACTCTGCTTTCTGCATGTGGTTGGGGATGTGATCTCTCACCTTCCTTCTCTGACTGCTTGCTGCAATGCTTCCGCACCATTACCTCTCAGGAACTGTAAACCCAAATAAAGTCTTCCTTCTGTAAGGCCCCTTGCTTCTTATACTTTATCCAAGCAACAAAAAGTAATTACTAATGGATGTAAAATACTTTATAACAAAACATTTAATGATTCGTAATTAAGCTAAACATTTGGAGTAAATACTATTGAAAGAATATTTCTCTTATCTAAATATAAGATATGTAATTCTATATAAAATTAGGTACATAAGTAATTTAATAAAACTAGCTTTTATGGAAACCCATAATACAGAATTAGCCATCACCTGTCTGAATAACTTATGAAAATGAGTATTCTTGTATTATTGATTACTTCACATTGAAAGGAGACAAAGGATGTAGAAAACCCAAAAAGGAGGGGAGGGTGCTAGATGAACATACAAGATAAAGAAAAATTAGAAAATGTTTCTTTTAATCAAGATGGAGGAATGTTGCACTATATATCTTGTTTCTGCTCTTTGTCACTGTTTCATGATCCAGAAGTTTTCACTGTCTGTCTGCCTTGCTGACATTCTAAATTACTGGGGATCTTGTGGCATTTCTGCATAGGCTACAGGTCTGTTTCTTCTTTGCCATCTGTACAGAAGACCAAAGAAAATCAGTAGCTTTGACTTACATTAAAGTAGTTGAGGCAGGCAAAAAAAACAAAAACAAAAAAAAAAGTTACTTCATTTCCATTCCAGTATAGGAATAAGAAGAAACATGCCAAGAGATAAAGATTTCTCTGCTCCCTGCTTCACTTTACAAGTCATCATATGGAATCTTACAGGTGAACCAATACTTTGTATCTTCTTCAAATGCCTTCCTGATTGTAATAGGTTTCTAGTAAAAATTCTCCACTGGTTTGTATTCTGCACCTTTATAAACAAGGGTGGGGGATAGTGTTTACTCCTTCCCCTGATGGTAAGTGCTTTTCTCTTTATACCTTTTCTCCTTTTGAACACATTACTTAAATCCTACTCCAAAAGACCTCATTCAGCTGTTGTCTGCTAAACTTTAAGATTTGAGCTGACGTTTGGTGAATAATATGTACGTGCAGATACTTTTGTCGTTAGGAAGGCAATGAAGCAATGTTTACTTTTAAAATATATATTCACGTGTACTTCCAAAGAATATTTCCTTCACTATAGCAGTTTGTAATGTTGCAACTTTATTACAAGTATATCAGGGTTCAGAACACGTTCAAAAGCTATTTAGGATCTTGAATCTTTCCTGTAATAAGATTGTTTGCAGCTACTAATAAAATAAAATATGGCCCTAAGAACTGAGACTGATTTTCATATGTGATTCATAAAGTAATACCAAAAAAAGCATAAAAACATCTGCTAAAAATTGTTCAAGTTACTATACCATACTGATGGGATTTGAGATACTCATTTGGCTATATATGATACATTTGTTATAAAAGGGCTTCTGCATGCCACACCTAGCAGACTGCTAATGACAATCACATAAATAAAGCACACTAATATTTGGCTTTTGGATATTTTTGACACATAGGTACTATATTACATTTTGTTCAATTATTCAACATCTCTTGTGGGCTGACTGAATCAAATACATAAGATGCAATGGATACAAGTCCACAAATGGGCACTTTTGTAAAAGAATTCTTACTTGAAAATATGTATTAGAAAATTCAAAGTGTAAGTGAAATATACATTTCTCAGAAGATAAACACAATTTAATAAAATGCCTCACAGTTATAGTATTTTAAAGATACAACTATAAATTTAGTAAAATATTTGTTCTATAGCCAGACAACATATGATTAAAATAAATACTTTGTTTAGATATTTATGAAATCCAACAGTCTTACTTTTAATTACTATATTCATCAATGTGATGAGTAGTCCAAATTAGTTATCAAATCCTATTCTAGATTAATCCACAAAATTATGATTTTTTTTATCTTCTGAAGTTCATTTCTTAAATTTTGCACACGACAATCAAAATGTTAAACATAAAACTTTTAATTACAAGAAATTGTGTTTCTTTAATTTAAAAATAAAAACAAAACCTCGTCGAGGTCTGAGTAGAGTCTTCTCAGTGGGTGGTCAGGCCTTTGGGCTTCCTCTAGCAGTCCTGTCTGCTGTAGAGAGTGCTTATGAGCAGACAACTGACTGTCTGTGGCTCCACCTTGAAGGGTCTGTGATCAAGTTAAAAGATTTCATCACACTTCAGGGCAAGCAGTAAAATCTAAATACCTGTGTACTACTGGTTCTGTTTCAGCCGTAGTTCATTTGTGAATCCTGACACAATTTTAAACAGAAGTAATTTTTGTCTTAGTCAAAGAAGGACCTTAATTTTAATACTTACACAATTTAGATGTTTCTCTATGTACTCAAATTCCAAAGGGGGAATAAATAAGATTTTTAGGACTTTAAACTAGATTGACACGCTTTCCCCATTGCATATATTTCTAATTCCACCAGTTATAGACAATAATAGACTAGTACAAGGGAAAACAGGCATAAGCAGTGGTTACTTTCAAGGCAGCGATGTAATACTTTAAATTGTGAATATAGTCTCTTGTGGTATTTACAGTCAAATGACTTACGGGTGTTGCAGGGAGGCTGCCTTGAAGACCACCGGTAAAAGACAGAGACTTTTTCAGCCCACTCCTGGATCTAAACAGCCAGACTCCAACCACCACTCACTTAAAGCAGTTTTACTACTGAAGCGCCTCTTCAGTATGCTAGCCTATGCTTACAATGTTGCTTTTAGGCTTCTGACCTAACACAAGAATTACTTACCTGATCCATTTTTAGTGACTTGTAGGAACTCGTCCTCATCTTCATCACAGCTCTCACAGCTGAACTGCTGGAGGACTGCATCCGACTGGCTTTCAGCTGGACCACCATCACCTTGCTTGCTGAGACTTCGAAGGGCAATAAGGCGGTGATGTATTGCTGCATATAGATAACCTATGTCTTTGGCACCAGCCTTCGTGGGAAAAATTAAGTTGTTAAGACTATTAAGTGATGAATAACTCTAGCTGTGCTTACATATTTTCCATCTCTTGCTGTCTATAAAGGAAGGATTCTATTACATAAACCTGGGAGGCAAATTAATGCCAATAGCCCAACATGTTAAAAAGTAAAGCTGATTCACTTAACACCAAATCGGATCCCAAAGTAAGTAATGCTATGAGATCTCAGTCCGTACATTTTAAATTGAGAAAATGCAGTTTTGTAATTTCAGAATCCTGTTTGAATGTAAATCTTTAAGATGGGTCTTCTGTTGCCTTATGCTGTAGAACATGGTAGCTTTAAGGACATCTGTTTCCTCCCATCACCTTACTTACCCACCCCTTCAACCCACATAGCTTCCTGGAGAAGCAAAGCTCCTGAGGAGTTGGTGACATTTTCAGACATCATATTTATCAAAACTTCTCCAAGCTAATTTTGAGTTGTCATTAATATAAATTTGGTGACAGCAGTAGCTTAATATTGGCACATCATTAGCTGTTGTGTTTTTATTCCATTTATATTAGCAAAAACAACTAGTATAGAAATATTCATCCCTCTTCCCTTTATGGATGAGAAAACTGGGTGAGAAAAATAAAAGGGCGTGTCTAAGTTACAACATTAAAGCACTCATTTACATTAAGAAAAATTAATGTTTTGTCATCATTTTAGCTGTTTAATCTCAGCAGCTTTATAAATTATATTGTTGCCTTCATTTTTCATGTGAGTAAGTCAGTTTTATGAAGGCTAAGTAATTTATCTGGAGGTAATATAGTTTATACAACGTGACACATATATATGGATACGTTTTTAGTTTATTCCTGATCTTATTGTATTTACACATACATAATGAGATATTTTGTGGATGGAGCACAAGTCTAACCATAGCATTTAGTTATGGTTCATATACCATGGGTCAAGTGTTGAGCAGCTGTCTGGTGATTGTGGACACAGTTAATCTCCATGTCTTCCATTATGCTTTACCCTCTGAAACCCAGTGGAAAGGAAGGTTTCGTTCATAAGTGATAAATAGGAGTTATTGTCTTATTCTAACTTTTTTGTATTGCTGTTGGTTGAACTTACTCTAACACTTTAATACTCAAAAAGTCACTTGTACCTGACAAAACGCTTTAAGTTAATAACATTTTTAGGTTTTATAACATGCCATTTTTCTCCATCATTTAATGGAAGCCTATCTACTTATATTACTACTTACTCCAATATCATTAGGGTACTCCTATTTTTCAAGTCTTCCTGGTCTCAGGCTATGGGGAAAATCTAGCTAGAGGGGGGAGGTCGGGATGGCAGGAAGAAGGCTTTGTTCTTGGCAGCTCTCTCGTATCTGTAGCTTGTGTTTGAGGTCAGGCATTCCTGCCTCAGGGAACAGCTCAGCTGTGCTTCCCTCCCGTTACCCTGGAGATTTACTCATGTTCAGAATTGGAATTTGCTGTTGGACTGGTTGTAACGTGCTGTCCCTGTGCTTTTCCATTCTGCGCTGGCTCCTTTGCTGTGATCACAAAGCCTCCTCTATCTGGGTGGCCTCATAAGTGGCAGGTTGCAACCCCCTGGGAGCCACTTTTGACACTGTTGTCACTGGAAACTTAGAAGCTTATTGACATAATTTTAATAGTAAAGGAAATAATAGGAAAAGATATCCAAATACTTAAGAATGAGGACCAATTGATTAATATTGACTTTGGTGTCAATTTGAATAGATGTTAGGCCATGTTAGATTGTCAGTAGCCATAATGAGTGATTCTTTGCCAGCTTTGCAGATTATCACAACAAAACGGAAAAATGAATAAGGAATTGCAAAAGGTTAATTGTTATATTAGTAGGATAACCACTCATTGCTGAAATCTGTAACTTACCTGAATTAAAAATACTTTTATACCGTCAGCTTCTAAATCTGTTGCAGTTATTCTCAAATTTTTTCGATTTGCTCTTTGAATCCTCATCTGAGCCCAGAGCCTGCTGTTGAGGACCAGCCTCAAATTGCCTTGGTTTCGCATGACTGTGAGGAGATGAATAACAACTCAGATTGAAGTTCATAATGTCTTAACATTAAAAAATTCATAAACATTTTGATGGAAAAGTTAATCCTGTAGATGTTTTATAAGCTGTGTTTTCACTTGTGAGTGATAATTTAACTAGATTATAAATTGATTTTCAATCTGGGCCTTACATTAGGGGAAGTTTATTTATTTACTTACTTTAGTTTCAATGTTAGAATTATATTTTTTCTAGAATGTTTAAATTATTGAATTTAAGGGGCATGATGACTTGAAGATTTCTAAGAAATGTTTATGTTGAAAAGAAAAACAGAAGCAAAATGTTTTAAGTGTTCAAAACATTAAATCAGATAAATTACAGCTCAGCGATGCGAGAGAACGCTACAAATCCATTAACAATACTGAAGAGGGCACTCGTGTGGGGAGTTAATAATGGAATACTATGTAAAAAATGCCAGGTCAGTATAACAATGAACCACAGCTGGACAGTCTACACAGAAGTGTACAGAGAATGACATCCACAGAATATATTCTGTTAGCAGACTGTATCTAGAAGGTAGACGTGATAGGATCTTATCTATTTCTAGATAATATCTATTTCTAGATATTTCCTCTTTCTATAGTGAGTCCATATTACTTATATAATAACAACAATAACAAAAGATGTTTGGGAATCCGAGGCTTAATTTTTTTTTTCTGGCAAACAGTAGAATCAAACCAAAGTGCAGAACAGCCAGTCCTGACTGGCAAATGAAACGTGATTGCATTATTTAGCAACCTGTTTGTCCATACAAGGTTGAAAACCCTGTTCTTGTTCTTTTGGCGGGAATTCTATTTCTCCCCCCCCCCTTTTGAGCTTGATATTTGATTTGATTTGTTTGTTTGTTTGTTTGTTTGTTTGTTCAAGACAGGGTTTCTCTGTGTACCCTTGGCTGTCCTGGACTCACTTTGTAGACCAGGCTGGCCTCAAACTCACAGACATTCACTTGCCTCTGCCTCCCAAATGCTGGGACTATAGGTGTGCGCCACAGTGCTGGCTGAGCTTGACATTTGAAACTGAACAAATCCTCATATGCCCAGGTCCAGATTCTAATGTAGTTTCCTTCAAAGTTTTGACCTCTCAGAATTGTCTGGCAAAAGAATTCACTGCACCAACCCTCCAGCCGAGGCTCACCTGGGCCTCTGAACTAAAGCCCAGTGTGCTCTTTTGGATGCCAAACATCTAAAATTCTTCCCCAGTATCTGTTCACCCATCTGCTGCAGGGCACAATAGTCACACACTTGGGTGTATGAAGGGGACAGACACTGACCCTTCACCCCAGCTCCATGCTGTGCTTGGATGCCGAGAATACATGATCCTTCAGGTGTTTCTTTCCCGAAACTCTCCATCTTGCAAAGTTATTTACTTTCCACCCCTTCCGATACCGATGGTATCATTATTCGGGTGTGTGCTTAGCTTTAACACCGATGCTTTCCACACAGTGTCCCGTCCAACTTTCACAACTGAATTACAGTATCTCTGTGAATTCTCACAAACACTGAAAAAAGCTGCAGGCTACAATTATTCACATTTTTAATTCCTACGGTCAAGCCGTTTCTTTGGTGTTGCTAGTCAGTGGTGGAATGAAAATTGGAACCAGGCTGGCTGACAGGTGAGCCTCCTTGAAATGCAAAGCTCCGAGAGTCCATTAGAGATCTCGTTTCCATCATCAGGTCTATGGTCGTGTTTTATAATGCATTTACACAAAGCAGTGTGCACCTGTGAAGCATTTTGCCCCGTGAAACATGGCTTACTTTACAAGATTGTCCCTTACTTAGTCTTGACTGTAGTGTCCCGCAGTCACTGCTTGCTGTGTCATTCAGTCTCAGACTCCCCCTGCCTCTTTCAGTCCAGGAGTGTGTTGTTTTATTGAGTACGAAGATCTTGCAGTTGATCTAAATGACAGGTTTTTTTTTAATGTCTGAGACATTAAAATCAGATTAAATTATTTCTTATTCCCTAACAGTGTTATATCTGTCTTCTCTCATATTAAATTATTCTTTGTTAATGCCTTATAAACTAGATTTTGAGATTTATTTAACTTTCAAGAACATGCAATCTCTGAATAGTTCAAACTATAATATCATAAAAGTAATAGCACAGAGTAAAATGAAAAGGGTTCCCAACCCTTGCTTTCCATCTTCACTTCTGTAACAGGTTGCATTTTATTTATCCTTTCAGAGATATTTGTAGGTATTCATACATACATACTACATACATACATACATCATCTTTTTCTAAAACTACAGGATACTGCGCATACTTCCTGCTTTCTTACTGAATATATCATACAGAAGCCAACTTCTTCATTAAACTTGATATTATCTTGGCCATATAATGTTATTTTAAAGAAATGAATTATGAAATGATTTTCATGTTAAGTGTTTCAAACACAGCACACAGACATGGAGAGCTGTAACTTGATAACACAGGGTCCCTTGTGGTAATTTAATGGTCACCCCTTCTCAACTACATGCATAAAAAGTCATATGTACATCCAGATCTAAACAGTGTGCCAGGGATTGGCCCCTAGCAGATACTTCCGTTAAGCCAGAATTATACCTGGAGATGTGCTTACTCAGAGTGAAAGTGTCCTTGGCTCACAGTGGAAATAACGGAGTAGAAAGTGTGGGAGAAGACGGAGAATGCTGAAGGGGGACTGGTGCCTTTAAACAGCAGTGAGGTTACAGTAAGTACCCTGACACCACTCAACCTAAACCAGCACCTGTGAGCTTCTTGACTTTAACAGACGAACAAGCCCAAACCTGTTCATCTGAAACTGAAATCCAGGCACTTCTCGGTACTAGTAGACTTAGCCATAGTAATGGCACTGGTTGTGAGAAGTAGAAAACAGGACTCAAGTTATTTTAAGACAGGATCCTAGCCTCCTGTGTACTCATGACTCTAAACTTAGGATCCTTGCTTCTTTCTTCCTGGAGGACTAAAGTGAGTGATTATAAACCTAAACTCATATGCACGCGCTTGCACACACACACAAACACACTTACACAAGCATGAACACATGCATGCACATGCACACACGGAGAATTTAAGAAGATAATACTATTTTAGTTTAACAGTGAAATTCTTACAAGCCTAAACAGGTTTTATTCCAGCAACTTAGTCTTCATGAAACTATTTCCCTCTATTTTTGAAGGTGTCTCCACTGATGTTAGCTTTAATCTAGATAATACCAGAAAAAGCAATACCTAGCATACAGACCTTCAACACATTATGTTCTGTTTCTTCTCCTGTTATGACATCAATTTTCTCAAGCAAGCATTGTTGTGATGGCTTGGAAGAAAAAGCAGCTGCTGATTCAATTAGGGATATGTTTTTAATAGAGTCTGTTTCAAAGAGAATACAGGAGGGGAAAAAAGTAAGACTGTTTTCTCTGCCATGAAAGCTATTTGTTACATCTTCCCACCTTCTCTTTTAAAGGTCAAATGGTTAGAGTGGGTTAAAGCCACCTAATTTACTCTCCCATAGCATTAGGCCAATAATTTTAAAGTTTATGTCATAACTTAATTATGTGTTTTAATCCTTGCCAATTTTATTTTAAAAGCTGGATTGTAGGCTTTTAAATTTGTGTGGATAGTAAGTAAATGCCATTAAAAAAAAATAGGAGACTGGGGGATGTAGAGATAGCTCTGTGGTTTCAATCAGACTGTTTTTCCAGGGGACCCAGCTTCAAGTCCCAGCCCCCACATGATGGTTGTTGTAACACCAATCCCAAAGCACCTGATGCCCTCTTCTGGCCTTTTTGGGTACCTTTTGGGGGGTTGGTCTGGTGCTATGTAATCTAATGCTAAATAATGCCAGATCCCCAAGATCTGGTTGTTACCCAGACAAACACATTCTCACATACACCAAGTGATGTTGTGTAAACCATGCTCCCCAATTTAAAGTTGGTTGGTTAATAAAATTAGCTAGGGGCCCAAAACTGGGCAGAAGAGAAGTAGATGGAGTTTAGGTTCCCAGGCTTGGGGTCAGATGAGTACTGTGAGGAGAAGAGATTGCAGGAGGAGAAACCGGAGAGAAACAAGTTGCTATGGGGCAGAATGGACCCCAGAATGTGCCCATGAGGGCTGCTGGCCTGATGGAACAGAAGCAGCCCAGGCAGGAACAATTGTGGCAAGTATTGTAGGGTATGTAGCTGGGAAAGAGCAAATTAGCTTAGAGGGTTGATATCTACCCAGATATGGTGCCTTAAAGCTTTTATAAATCTAAAACGTCTCTGTCTCAGTTACTTGGACTAGTTGGAGTAGAGAAGTCCTCTAGACTCCAATATCCCTTTTCACAACAGGTACCAGATACACATGTCATGCATTGACATACATGCATGTAAAATACCCACATTCTTAAATGCACATTTAAAAAAAAAAAGGAGACAGTGAAGTTAAATGTTTTACAAACAAAATAATTCTTACTTGAATTTGAAGCAGTGTTAGGAAGTTTCAGAACAGATCTGAATGTTTTTTCCTTGGCATATGAAAGATTTTGAAGTGGAGGCTGGGTGAGCTTTTGAGTGCCCTGAGAAAGAGAAAATGCACATTGTTTAATCTCATGCCTACATCTTTGGAGTAAGCTAAAAGGATTAATTTTCTTTTCAACAGAGCACACCAAACACCACCTACTGTTTTTGTTTCAGGCTCCCTCTGTGCTCCACAGAGAACTGGGCATTGATTCTAACCTCAAAAAACCAGAACCCACTCACGGTTAGGGCTGGGCTTAGGATCAGGGTTAGGGTTATGGGTCTGGTTTCAGGAAAAGAAGAAAACCTTGAAAAGCAGGGAAGCAGATGGCTGTCACTTTGTGTCTCACCAGGCTAACCAAAACACCATTCAGTTCTCTTTCAGTGTTTGTCAGGGACCCAGAGACTCACGACTGGTTTTCTTCTTCTGCCATGTGGTCCCTCAGATCAAACTCAGGTCGTCAGGCTTGGTTGCAAGTGCTTTACTCTGCCATCTCCCTAGCCCACCGACAGTCACATTCAAGGCTGTGTGTATCTGATGTGATATGAGGCTGGATGGAAAAGATCAGCAACTGTGCTAGTCACAGCTGAGTGTGTAACCCTCTGCAGAACAATGACCGTGGAACAGTGCTATTCAAGAACACATTCAAATCCTGCCTTGATGAGTCTTCCATGTTATTTAATGGGAAATCAGTATAATACCTAAAACAAGGCAATGCTGCTATATAATCGTTTTCACTTCAAGACAATAGAAACACCGGCGGCTCAGGAATATTAGTGACTCATTCTAAAAGCACACAGTCAATCAATCGACAAGTCAAGAATGCACCTTGACCCCATATCACAGGGCTCAGCGTTCACAAGATCAAGTAGAGGAAAAGCACAAACTATCCAGATAATTCCATATCCTTGGGACATACACTCTGAGAGAAATGGGAGGCTCTAATCCTTTCATAAGCCACATCCAAAATGCCCATGGGATAGAGTGACAATTCTCCCTCAGGGACCTCTGTGGTCCCAACCGCAGCTTGTTCTCATAGGTCTCCCTATCTCCTTTCCTACAGCATAAACCTCTCTAGAGTTAGCTTTGCATACTGCTTAGGTGGACTTCAAACCTAGAAAAAGAAAGTCCAAAAATGAACAAACCTGCCTAAATATTGCATGGACTTTCCCCTGGAACTTGCTTAGTTCGTTCTAGTTCTGATCCAAAGGTGTGATCAATATCTTTGATATTGGTGGAGTTTCCCTTTTTTAATTTTTTATACTGTCTGATGAAGATTGTCTCACTATTTAGTGTGGGGTGGCCTCAAACTGTCTATCCTTCTCCCTCAGCCTTGCAGTGGTAGGAGGCAGGCATGGGCCAGCACCTCCAGGTGGAAGTGGCCTTCTTGGGAGTGACAGAAGGGTACTTTAAGCTAAAAAGCCACAGAATTATTCTTGGAATTGAGAACAATCCTGAGATATATCTACACCAAGCAAGATCCAAAGAACAATAGACTCAGGAAAAGCCCTAAAAATCTTGGAATCAACTAACTCTGAGAATTTTTGAAAAAAATTTATTAGCATATGCTAATTGTACCAAATAATGCATTTTGTTTTGGCCTTCTCTCTCTCTCTCTCTCTCTCTCTCTCTCTGTGTGTGTGTGTGTGTGTGTGTGTGTGTGTGTGTATTATGTATTTGTAGTGTATGTGCACATTTGTGTGTTCAGGTGTGTTCACTCATGTGTGCAGGTATGCAGAGAGCAGAGGAAGAAGTCATATGGCGTTTTCCTCTATGGCTATCTACTTTATTCCCACAAGACAGGGCCTCTTCCTAAACCAGAAGCTTGCCGTTTTAGTTAGGCTAGCTTTTGCACAGGTACCGAAGATACAAACACAGATTCTCATTTCCACAGCACGTGCTCATACCCACTGAGCCATCTCCCCAGCCCCTCGCTGTGACATTTTCACACATACATCATGTTCCTTGACCATAAAAGTCTCCGCCACTTCATTAACCTGCCTCATGTAACAGTAACCCTAACAGAAGCCCCCTCAGGCCAAGCTCAGGAATCACCCTAGTTTAAATAAAGGCTGGGAAACCCTGTGAGTCATGAAAGTGTGCAGGCATGCCACAGATTCCGCTTTATTGTTCCTTGGCTTTCATAATGCTGCCTTAGAAATCAAAGTTTTGGGCAGTGCCCAGCAGCAGCAGCAGCAGCAGCAGCAGCAGCAGCAGCAGCAGCAGGGAAATGAAATAAGAATGATAGCGTTAGCAGAGCGGTGGTGGTGCACTCTGTAATCCCAGCACTCAGGAGGCAGATGCATGTGGATCTCTGTGAGTGTGAGGCCAGCCTGGTCTACAGAGGGAGTTCCAAGACAGCCAAGGCTACACAGAGAAACCCGCCTTAAACAAACAAACAAATGATAGCGATAGCAGTTAAGAGTTTTCACTGAACAGGTATATTTCCTAGACAAGTTTTTCTCTTAAGATGCAAAATGTTATAATGCTTTTTAAAGTAAAGGTTCAGCTGTGGTTAGTGAGAACACATTAGCTCATTATTTTAAGCGGGGTGACATTTATTTAGTGGTATAGCCACTGAAAAGCTGCCGTTGCTCCAGTCAGTAACCTCCCACTCACACCCAGGCAAGAAACTCTAAAGTCAGTGGGCACCACAGGAAAGGGAGACATGAATGTAGGACAGAGACTTATTGGGAACAGTTCCAGCAGAAGGAAGAAGATGGGAGTGGGTGGGTGTGTGCGTGAAAATGGCAAGATTCATAGTATAAACATATGAAGCTGTGAAACAATTCTTAAAAATTAAAGAAGAAAACATTGCTCTGAGCTTATATTAAAGCATTGCCAATTGATTTGCTCTAGCTGCTGTGTGTTTCTGAGAGTTCCGTGGGTACTGTTGACACTTGATATTGGAAATAATGCGAGGATTCTGCAGTTTCCTTCCTCTGTGGCGGTGGTTCCCTTTGGGGGAGCGGGGTCAAATGACACTTTCACAGAGGTCACCTAAGATCATCCTGCATATGAGATATTCACATCACAATTCGTAACAGTAGTGAAATTGCAGCTATGAAGTAGCAACAAGATCATTTTATGGTTGGGGGAGTCACTCCAGCATGAGGAACTGTTTTGGAGGGTTGCAGCATTAGGCGGGTGAAGAAACAGCTCTATGGGCTTCACATCTATTAGCCAACGAGCTAGGACATGCTTCCCAGAAGCTTTTTGCAGTTAAAGAAAGAAATCGTGACTTTTAGCCCAGAACTAGGAAGTGTGCTTGAACTGAACATTAATTAACTTGCCTTCGGATATGTGAACAGCAGCTCCTCTAAGAAAATTTACCAAAAACTTACCATAACTCTTTCTACCATGTTTTCTCCAAAAACAAAGTCAGAACTGCAGCTTTTAAAAGAACACTTATCTTCCATTGGTCGGCATCTATGAGAAAGAAATAAGTATTTGGTATTTTAAATTTAAGCCTGAGCAGGCAAAATAATCAGGTAGTTTAATATGCTTATGTAAAGCATAAAGAGACTGCCTTGTTCATATGAAACAAAAAAGAAGTGAAGGAAAAACATGAGCCAAGGACTCCCAGGAGTAATTTTCAGAATCTTGTTGCTGAATGTTACAGCACTGGCGTTGACCTGTAGGTATGATCTCAGGGCATTCACTATGTGGGCTGCATGCTCACCTGGTGGGCTGCCCAGCCCTTATCTTGTTGCATTCCAGCAAGCTCTAACCATTATTCTTTATCCTAAGTGGCTAATGACGCTTTTAGCAAGCCAAGATATTCAGAGTGTCTTATCAATTACGCTTGAGTGTGCATTGCCTTGATTCTTCTACTCCACAAAATTTTGTTTTTCTATTAAAATTTTTTTGCATGATGAGAAAAGCAAACATGTAGCCCCCTCTTTGTAGGCAGATGCACTAAAGATTTTCAGCACATACACATGACCTCATAGTTCCCAAGCTGGATAGAGCCTACTTGTGTGAGCCAGTGTTTGTGCACAGCCACTTCCAGCGATTTCTCAGATAAAATATCCCTTCCCCACCATCAACACTAAGAACATTAACTGTTCACTTAGCAGATGCATACTGATTTCCTTTTATCTATACAATTCATGCCAGTTAATCATAGATAGCACCAAAAATGATCAGGAAGGGGAGAAAGGACGACAAGAAGGAAGTTTAATAACAAGATAACTTGGACCTGAAGTTTAGTCATATTTTTTTTCAATATTCCAACCCAGGACCATGAGGTAATGAAGGCAATACAATAATTATGATGCCAGTCATGAAGTAGCTCAGGTACCCTGGAGAGCTCTCTAAACTAATATTCTCATAAAACATTCTTTCCAATGAGAAACCTGTCGATTTATTCACATACACTGTCAGAAAATTACAGTGTGTGAAGAGCTGAAATGGTCAAAGAAAACAAAAAGGGAAAGAAAACATCTTGGCTTTCTCATTATGCTGAACATCCCAAATTAGAAAATCTGAAGTACAAAATTCTTCGGAATCTGAAACACATTGATGTAATATTATGAATATACAATCCCTGGCCGCATATAATAAGTCAGAGTCAGAAATCATTTTAAAATGTTGTTTTACAATTACATTCAGATTACGTACTCGAGATGTATGTAAATCTGTGTACATTTTATGTTTAGACTTGGTCCCATCCCCAAGATATTTATTACATTATGTGTATTCCAATATTACAAAAATCTAAAAAAAGAAAGGAACACTGCTAGTCCCAAACACTTTGGGAAAGGGACGCTCGAGCTGTATTTATTACTTTACCCTGATGTTGCCTGTGAGACGTGCAGATCAGTAGACAGCCGGACTGAACCTCTGGCGTTTGGTAAATTTTCACTTAGTGTACTAGCCTTTGCTTCAGAAATCTGGGAGAGAGAGGGAGGGAGATCTGAAAATCCGGTAATCTCCCTGTCTGTAGTCGTACATGTTGAAAGGTCCCTGTGTCCAGATCCCCTCCCCCAGCCCCTTCTGTGCCTCCCCTCACGTGTTCTTCGCAGCTCTGGGCACTTTGTGCTCCTGCCGCCCACGTGTACAGGCGAGCCGACTGACAGACCTTCGAGAACGCACCACGTCTTACAGCCAAACGGACGTGATGATAAGTACAAGTCTTTCTGTTTCCAGAGACTAAGCGCTTCGTTATAATACTCACAAAACACGTTGCCTTTGTTACCTTTACCTGTCTTATCCAGCTAGGCTTTTTATTTCCGCATTATTAGGGGTACTTTTCAGGACTATTTAATCTCTGGGGATATGCTAAGAGCCCCACTATCACAGCCACCCAGTATAAGAGAAAACTCAGCCCATCTCTTCATTCTGATGTTTTCCCTGGGTAACTGAGCCAGCTGAAACTGGATTTGTGCATGTCCATAATGTGCACAGCCTGTACCAATACTCAGATCTGGAGTAAGTCCTGCTGTAAAGAACTCATCTGGTCCAGTGTTTGCTGCGGTTTTTGGACACTTCTCTTTCCCTGAAAGGATTTGCAAATGTGTTCTGGGGGTGAGTTCATATCTTCAAAGTCAGGCAAGCTGTGTTTCCACTTGAATTTTTATACCAATTAATAAATGTATTAATATTTCTCTCTTAAAACTGGAACTTGAAAGCTAAGAAACACCTGCAAGAGAGCACTGCCTCGGTTATCTAAGGTTAAGGTATATCCCAATGACCTGGCTACTTAAATAATTTCTCCTTCAGTCTCAATGATAGTTTTCACTCTTTGTTGCTTGAAATCATTTTATTATAGTACATTTGGTTTGATTTATACACAAACAGTGGACATTGTCTGCAGAATGCAGTTTTTTTTTTTTTAAGTATGCAACACGATAGCAGAGGGAGCACTGTTTGGGAGAGGAAGGGGCCAGCAGGAAAGGAGGAGGGACGGAGGGCAAAGTAAGATTCTGAGTATGCATGGAGACACCATCGTGAGTCCCAGAATTTACTTTTTAGGAGCCAGTGACCAAGCCAGGGTCTCACGCTTGCTAGACCAGTGCTCCGGCACTCAGCCACATCCTCAACCTTGTAAAGGGAAAAGTTTTAAATGTTTCTTTTACTTTTGAGATTATAATATAGTTTCATCATTTCCCCATTTCCTTTCCTCTCTTCAGACACTCCCACATACCACCGTTTGTGCTCTTTCAGATAAACGGCTTTTTTCACTAATTGTTGTTATTTATACATACATATAAATTCTTAGATACATAAATACAACCTGCTTAGTCTGTATGTTGCTGCTCATATGTGTATGTTTTCAAGACTGACTATTCCATCAAGTCTCATCCACATGACTGCCTAAACTTGAGCTGAACAAAGATGACAGCAATGGTCTTGCTCAACTAGACCAGGGCAGGGGAAGTGCATAGGGAAAGTCCATGAGGCCTCAACCCCACACAAAGAACTGAAGGCAACTAAGGAATACTGAGAAACAAAGAAATTGTCTTCCCCAGGGAAGAACATACCAACTATTTATCTCATACCAAAAGGAAAGATTTTAAAGATGGTAAGAAACAGTGTTACCAAAGTTTATATTTTCCTTAAACTTCTGCATTAAAATGGTACCTATTTTGGTTTGTACTTCTTTAATTTGACAGTGAATGTTTTTACTAAAAAGTAACAGGGTGGATACTAATTCATCTAGTTTTGATATGTGTCAGTAAAGAATGTAAGATAATGGTTCTATAAAATTCACTGAGGGATAATTTTTACACTATCTACAAATTACATCTATTTAGTCAAGCTTGAGCCATAGATTTTCATAAATTGTGTGTCTCTGGGGTTTCAAAGATTATCATGAAGCAGAAAACTCAATAATAGGCATATCCAGTGGGGCCTCTCATAAACTAAAGATCATCTCATCTCTATTCATTACAACTTTAAATGAGGAAGAAATATTTGCAAACCAGAGCTGAAATTTTTCTGTTTTATAATTTAGGCAGAAAATGTTAAAACAACAACAAAAACAAAACAGTTATGAAGATCTGAGTTCCCCAGAAAGCCAGGGGCAATGGAAAACGTTTATAATTCCAGAGCTGGAAAGGCGGGGAGGCAGCTTTCTGGGGCTGCCTGCTGGGTAGCCTCGCGTCAAACTCTGGGCCAATGAGGGACCTTGTCTCAAGAAGCAAGGTAGAGGGCTCATGGGAGATGACACTCAAGGTTGTCCTCCGGCCTGAAAATGCACATACATGCACGTGCACACACAGATGAGAGTTCGAAATATCACTACACTTTGGACATCATAACATATAATAAAAACTTCACCTATACTTACATCTTACACCATTCTAAAGTGGTGTGTAATAGTTCAACAATTATTCAACTTTTAAAATTTAATAATAATTTAACACGATTCTCCCCAACACTCCTAAGTAGATAAAAAAATGATTACAAGATTATATTTAATGAAAACTTCTAGTAATATACTAATCTAAAATTAAGACCATGCTTTACCTCATAAATCACTTCTCATCTGCCACGCACAATTGATTAAATTATTATTCAAATTCCTAATGGGCCTCACAAAATCATATCTCACAAAAAGAGGGTTTGGAAGCATAACAATTTTGGGAGATGCTGACCAAGTTCAACTCCCTTTTTTCACTGATACATAGAATATTGGGTGCCTGGTTTGAATAAGCACAGGTAGTTGCTGGGCAAGACTGCTTCCATTCTGACTTTTTCCCCCTTAATCAAGATGGCTGGGGCTGGAGAAATGGCTCAGGGGTTAAGAGCATTGGTTGTTCTTCCAGAGGTCCTGAGTTCAATTCCCAGCAACCACATGGTGGCTCACAACCATCTATACAGAAATCTGATGCCCTCTTCTGGCCTGCAGGTGTATATTCATAGAGCACTCATACACATTAGATAGATAGATAGATAGATAGATAGATAGATAGATAGATAGATAGATAGATAGATAGATAGATAGATAATTTTTTAAATGGCTGATATAGTTCATATCTGTTTGTTATTGTCATTGGGTTTGGAGTAGGGAGAGGAGGGGAAACCAAACCAGTTGAAAAACCTCAAGAGTTTGAAAACAAATGGCTGATGGAATAACTCAAATTCCAACCACCTAAGTTGGGTCCCATTCCTCCTGAATACCACAGCTAGAACTGCAGTCACAGCACCTTCTGGAGCCCCACATCTGAATGCCCTGAACAAAAAGACTATCCCTGTAGGGGAGCTTGCAGTGAGCGAGTCAGAGCCTGCAGTGAGTGTTTAGAAGGGAGAATTCTTACCTGTCTCTGGAAGCTGTCATGCTCCCTACCCCACTCACAGTTATTCTGAATGGAACCTTTGCTGCTGTTACCCATAAAGCTGTGTCTACTGTGACCCAAACTGGCACAGCCTCTCAATGATGTTGGACGGGGGGGATGCAGAACCCCCTCTTCATTATTTGACTACAGATTCTGGCCCTGCCTGTCCATTGCTTCTCTGAGTTCACACTGTCAACATTCTGGCATTTCCACTCTATTCATGCACAGCTTTTTCACTTGAGTGACAGCAACCACAAAATCTGGTCCAGGGAAACACTTTTGAATTTAATGAGATCACCAAGAGACTCTCAGGGTCAGTGTCAGTCCAACCACAGGGGATTTTCTTACCTCATGCTTGGTATTTTCCTTAATTATGCAAGATTTTGATGTGCTGGGCCAAAATGCTGGGCCTACTTTTTCGCAGCTTTGAGCTTGAGGTGGTTTCAGAACAGCAGGTCTCAAAACTTGTTCTGAAAGTCTCATAGGGGAACCTTGAAAGAGCAGAATGAAAAGATCGATACATTTTAGTGAAATAATTGTTGTCCCTATTTTTAATGTGATGCTTTTAAAAAATACCACAGCTAAGTTTTTAGGGACTAATCAAAGTCGGTACAGCCCCTGATTGGCCCGCTACTCACTTTTAGCCTAGCTTTTGCTAATTGTTTCTTTTGATTACATGATTTGTCTGATAAAATATTTTCATCCTTCGTGTTTCATCGCTCTGTCCTCCCGACATCCACACAGCACACACCATGCACACCCACACCCATATGCACACACAGAGGTGGGGAGAGAATGCGAAAGAGATCAGCGTGATCACGCTGAACGTGTTCACGCGTGAACAGACGCCATATCGGGTTGTAAGTCTGCCTGCTTTTCTAAAGTATTTAAGAAAAACTTAACACTTTGTTTATTTTCTAGACATAAATTTTCTCGTTTTCATGACACTTTTTTCTTTTTTTCTTATTAATTATACTTTATTTACTTTGTATCTCCCCTGTAGTTCCCGCCCTCCTCCCCTCCCAGTCTCTCCCTTCCTCCTCCTCCTCCAAGTCCACTGGTAGGGGAGGTCTTCTTTTCCTTCCTTCTGATCCTAGTCTGTTAGGTCATGACACTTTTTCCCCCCTAAACTTGGCAGTTTGAGCTTCCACTAATCTTCTGAGCTTCCTTGCTCTTTCGATAAAGGTACCCTCCTCTCCAAGGGGCTGTGCACCCACCATATGCCTGACCCTCATGCCAGCCTCGATGGCATGGCTTTTTCCTCTTCCCTCCAGGCAGCTGCTGGGGTTTTATAGCTTGCCTGTCCCAGTGGTCTTCTTCTAAGTTCTAACACAATTCCCCCTGTCCCTCGAGTGAGTGAGTGAGTGAGTGAGTGAGTGAGTGAGTGAGTGAGTGAGTGAGTGAGCCAGCGAGCAAGTGAATAAATACTACTTGGGGAGATGAATTTCTGGGATTCTTGAAACTGAAGATTCATACCTTGCTCTGCATTGTTCATGCCATAATTCCCTTGCAGCAGATGTGATGTCATAAAAACATTCTTTTTCTTCACTATAAGAAAAAAAAGCGTTAAAACAGCTTTAAAGTCTGTGTCAGAGTTCACATTTTCTGCAAAAGGCCTGTTCTGAAATCACCATTAGATGTCGCTATTGGCACTAATACCATTAGAAAGTAGTGCACATTGGGGCCTGGTCCTATTGAATGGGATTGCCAGGTGAGTCTTGCTCCCTACCTCTGCTCAGTTCTCAAAATCTAAAATTAGACCTTCAATAGAAGAGGTAATCTTAATTATAATCGTTAAATAGTGTGCCGTAAGAAATTCTGCATATTACAAACTGAAGTGATAATGAATCCTGTGTGTTTATGTATACTTCTTATAGAATGCTACAAAACTATTAACAAACTCTTCACATTCTTTTATAATGATACTCAGGAGAGAATTAAAGATGGGAACTATGCTAATTAGCTTTGGGGTTTTTGGGGGGTTGTCAACTTGACACAAGCTAGAGCTACTTTGAAAGAGGGAATATCAATTGAAAAAATGTCCACATAAGATAGACCTTAGGCAAGTCTATGGAGACATTTTCTTTCTTTCTTTCTTTCTTTCTTTCTTTCTTTCTTTCTTTCTTTCTCCACTCAAGAAAATTGTATTTAATACAACCTAAGAGTATTTGTGGAAGTTGCTAATTGTAATTGAAGAAATCAGATTTTCTTTCCTTCAAATTCCTGATTTAATAAGGGATTGTTTAGAAAAAGACCCCAAACATCAGATTGTTCACATAAATAACCCGTGGCATTACCTTTCCAAAATAAATATTAAGACTCATACACTATTTTCCTGCAAGATGCATTTGACATGCCAACTCCCATTCACAAAAAACTGTGGCTACATTCGTGTTGCACAGCCCCACTCGCGTGAGGGAAAACACACACCTCTAATGCAAAGCTGCTCTCAGGGCTACAAGTCAATGAGACGCCTCTGCAGTGAGGGGAGCAACTGCTGAAAGGGCATGAGTGGGGAGAACTGTACTCCCTGCATAACAAGAGATTGTTTGGAGGCAGTTGATGAAAACCAAACATCTTTTTATTGTCCAGTCAGAAGAGGCTTCAAAATTAAAGCAAAACTTACAGGGTAAGACTTAACAAAACTACTAAAGAGCATCAAAGGAAGTGAAAATGGAACTCGGCGCAGGGCAGTTATGAATTAATGAACACAGAGAGGAATAGGAGAGGGGAGCAGTGAGAATGTGCTGAAGATACTAGGGGAGAGGACCTGGCGTTACATTGATCTCTCACAAGTGCCCAGGTAAATGAATAATGGGGTAAGATTTCTAACTCCACCCTGTGCTTGAGAGTCATTCTCCTCGCTGGTGCTCTCTCTGTCATCCTCTCCTCCCTCCCTCAGCCTCTTTTTCCTCATCCTTGATCATCTCCTGCTGGTCATCCTCCCCCCATCTTCATGATCATCATCATCCAGCAGGTCACCCTCCTCAGCAGTCATCTGCACCTGCCTCAGACCCCATCCTCAGATTAGTCTCATCCTTCTTCACATAGGCGCTTCTCTGCTCTTCTTCAGGCTTTTTGTTCTGCATCTCTGCCTGTTTGCTTTTTTATTTTTTTTTCTTCAGGCTTTCCAGCAAATAATCCACTTTTTGATTTGTGTGAGTCAGCTTCTTAATGGCCTGATGGTCATCACCTTTCAAGTTTTCAGACTTGGAAGATCCGTGTTGTCTACTCATCGAGTTAAATCCACTTTTGCCCCTTTCTGAGGTGTTCCCCGACACACTCTGGCATTTAAAAGGCACCACAGCTCTAGCAATAGGAGAAGGAGGAGGAGGAACATGTGCTGGGTAACTGTACCTCCTGTCATAATAGTCACGTTGAAAGTCGTAGCCCAAGTCAGTGAGGAACCGAACATCTCCGCTGCAGATCATTTCACACCTGCTTTTCCTCCATTCACTTCTGGCTCTGTAGCCAGGTTAATATCTAACAGCTGACCAACAATCCTTTTGCCATCCTCTCCAGCTATGGCAGCCTGGGCATTTCTTTCATTAACATCCTGGATGAAGGCAAAGCCCTTATACACAGAGCAACCCACAATTTTGCCTTACTTTGAAAAAATGGCCTCCACATCAGACTTCTTGACCACCAGAGTGTTGAGGTTCCCAATGAAGACACAGGAATTTACAGATCGAGGACCTGCCTTGTTGGTAACATTGCCAACCATCTCCTTTGGTGATAAGATTTCCCACAAAACTGAAAACTCACAAGAGAAAAGAAGAGATTGCCTCTCCTACTGTGGTTCTATGCCAAGACAACAAAGCTACAGCAAGCAGGTAGCAAATGACTGCTCTGTCTCTTCACAGAAGAGATATTTTCTTGATTACTGACTGATGTGGGAGGATCTAGCACACTATGGGCTGTTGAAGATGCAGGCTGAGCATTCCATAGAGAGAGTAAGCCGGGAAGGAACACTCCACCATGGCCTGCTTGAGTTCCTGCCCTGACTTCCCTTCATGATGGACTGAAACTGAAAGGTGAAACAAACACTTTCCTATCGTAAGTTAGTTTTTCTTGGTGTTTTGTCACAGTAACAGAAACTAAACTATGAAAACAAGGGCGCCAGATCATTCTCTTGTAGGTGTGTTGCTGAGTAAGATTGGTCATGGCTGCAAGCATAGGACTTCTGTACTTTTCCAAGGCAGGGAATTGCCTTGATAGTGCAATGGCTCTAACCAAAGTTGGATTTAGTAGTTTTTATTACTTGAAACAAATAACAACTTATATATGTATTTATATAAATTTATATAAATTGTATCATTTTCTCATTTCCAACACCATTTATTTGTCACCGCATAAAGCAGAAATGCTTACTGATTAGTGTCCTCCAATTTGTTCAACCTTTGTGTATCTGGATTTTAAAGATGAGGTAGTTATATAAATAAAATAAAGCTGTCCCTTTGCTTGACACAGAACAAGAGTGAACTAGGATGCTTTGCCCCTGGGATCAGTCCTCTCCACATTATACAGCTTGCCGGGGGCGGGGGCGGTTTGAGAGTCTGTTGAACTAAGAAGTGTCTCTTTTGTAACTGGAAAGTGTATGATACACTGTTACTCATTTGTGACTGTAATTCTTGTTATTAATATGGACTCATTGGTTTGGAAATTCTGCAGCTCTTGGGTAGAGGACAGTCAATCAAAAGGAAATAAGATAGATGATGGATAGATATATAGATGATCGATATGTTAGATAGATAGATGACAGAGATAGATAGATAGAAAGCAAATATAATTTCTTAGTGGTAAACACCAGAAAATGCAATTGATTGTTCAATAGAAATAAAATACCCAAGAATATAAGTCCTTGTTTAATGTGGAGATAGTGCCAATCATTTCATTGTGATAAACATTTCATCATGATAAAATCATTTTACTTAGCAAAACATTATGAAGTTCAAGTAAAAAATATTATTTTCATTAATTAAATCTCTAATAGAATCATATTCTAAGCCTGAGAACATGAATCAAAAGCATAGTTATATTTTGAGTACTATATAAGCTATATATGTAGACATAATAAATAAAAACGAAGCAAGCTATTTTTAGTTTGTAGATCTCGCCTTCCTTAAAGTAATGCTATGGCATAAGGGCTATAAGATCAATTATGAAGAGAATTCCTAAAGAACCATGATATAGAATCAAGGCAAACTAAATTTCCAACTGACTGAGCATACAGTACATAACAGAATTCTTCCTTAAACGGAGGCATCTGTTTATTTCGCATATGAAGCCCTAAGACATACCAAATTCAAGCTTTTGCCTAAAATAAATGATGCTCTCCAGAACTGTGGAAGTTGTAAGACAGGCCTCTTGCATACTTAACTAGAGCTTGTCTCTGGTTTATTGCTCAAGCTATTAGCATCTTATGATGTCTCAGAAAGACTATCCATCAGTGATAAGAATGATTTCTAAGACATCAGAGTGTCGGGATTAAGGTTCTAGGAGTCCATAATTACCTGGCCCAGAGGGAGGAAAGGTTGGGACATCAGTGAATGAAGAGGACCTCAGGCGTGTCTGAGACGAGGCTGGCACTAAAAGCAGATTGCAAATGCAAGTCATTAAAGAAGTGGATCTTTTGTCTAGGTTGACTGGGATACTTTGAAGGAAAATTTAGATCTCCAACTCAAATAGAACTGTTTTTTTTAAAAATCAATCAAAACAAAGACTGCCTCTGATGATCATAAATTAACTTTATTTCCTTCAGCTCAGTAAATATTCCCTGAATGCTGACCATGTATTGGACATTTTGTTAGACATAAAAATGCCACCTGTGAACTCACAGTTGGTGGAGATATATGTACATAAACTGCTGCTTTGCCAAGCCAAAAGTCGGTAAAAACCCATTAGGCAGAAGAGCACTGGGGTATATTGATGTACAGAAGGGCAAACTGTTCTCAATTGGCTCAGAATACAGTGTATAATAAAGTACTTTTTATAATGCCAGCATGTTTTTATTTTGTAGGTGCTTGCTACTAACTGACCAGTTGGAAAGGATTTTTTTAATAATTCAGAATAATAGTAAAAACTATACCCACCTCCTTGAGACTGAGAATCTGTGGTATGAAGCGTGACAGAGGAAGACCGCACACGCTTTCTGGAGAAACCACGGAATCCTGAAAGAAGTTCAGCAGGAATGATAACATTGTTTACGATAACACACAGTACAAAAAGAGAATCAAGTCTTTTGTGTACATAGGTCATCATTTCATGACACGCTCGCTCTTGAAGCCCAGCATCAACTATTAGGGATGTTAAGGGGATGATAAACCTACAGACATATCCTATTAGCATGGAACAGGTAGAAATGAGTCTTCTGCAGGAAACTGTATACACATTCTGAAGTTCTACAGAGGCTTACAGAGGCTACTTGCTCACATCACTGTTCTTGGGGATATGCCTGTCATCTTTCAAACCAAAGGCCAATCCATGTACACACTTAAAAACAAGGAAAACCATTAAGTTTCAGAGTCCATACACAAGCCCAAATGCTCATTCTTGCTTGATTTGTTTTTATATAAAGTTTGGGGTTTGTGTTTTGCAACACAGAACGTAATTTATTACCATGTTCTGCTGTTTCATCCAGGCTGTCTTCTGCAGGTCTCTGAAAAGACACAAAACTCCCAGTGAAAGCTGAGTATTTTCTGCTTTTGCATCAATTTTCCACCCAGCCACTGAATAAGAGAAGTTTCAGGAACCAAAGCTAGTTCTTCAGCTCACAAAGACGAAGCAACATACCATAGTTTCACCAAGAACATGTCAGCAGAGAAGGCTAGCCCAGTGGTTAAAGATCTCAATGACTAGTAAATCATTTCTGAAAACTTGCTTAAAATACTGATTTTTTTTTTTTTTTTGAGGCATCTGCTCTCAGGACTCTGCAGTGGTTGATCTGGCATGAAGTTGAACTTTCTTTAGTTTACTTTTCCGAGTAGTTTGTTAATGACTGCATGTAAGAATGAATTCTGACAACTGTTATAAGGTGGATACAGAGGATCCTATGGTTCCAGGGTAATGCTTCAACTTCAGATACGATTTTTTTTATTTACCTTTATTTTATATGCACTGATGTTTACCTGCATGTATGTCCTTGTGAACGTGTCATATTTTGGAGTTATAGATAGTTGTGAGCTGCCATGCAGGTGTTGGGATTTGAACCCAGGTCTTCTGGAAGAGCAGTCAATGCCCTTAATCGCTGAGCCACCTCTCTGACCCCTCAGATAGAATCTTTAAGCCCTTCCAAACTAGTTTTGCATGCTGGAGATTTTTATGCCCAGTTTTAGGCTCTTTCAATAGTGAGTAAGTAAGGAGGTCCTTAACCATTCTCTGCTTTTTCTGTCCTCCTTCTTTACCCTCCAAATAAGCACATTATTTTAGGTAAGGCACTTTATTCACAACTCAGAGACACTGATATCTCTGAGTCCCAACTGCATGGACATTCTGCCGGTGAAGAAGAACGAGATGAACTCATGCAGCTACCCTGTCTTAGTGTAACCACCTCCTTTAAAGTATTATTTGTCAAAAGAAAAATAGTCGGGTCTTACCTTAAAAGGATATTCTTCTTTTTCAAAAACAAATATTGGTTGAGCAATGACATATTTGTCTGCAAAGAAAAAAGAACTGTTAAGAAATCAAAGCACCTATGAGACTGTTTCTCCAACCAAGGACCATGTATGGATATAACCTAGAACACCTGCTCAGATGTAGCCCAAGGTAGCTCAGTATCCAAGTGGGTTTCCCTAGTAAGGGGAACAGGAATTATTTCTGACATGAACTCAATGACTGGCTCTTTACCTCCCCCCTTCCCCGAGGGAGGAAAAGCCTTGCTAGGCCACAGAAGAGAACATTGCAGCCAGTCCTGAAGATACCTGATAAGCTAGGGTCAAATGGAAGGGGAGGAGGACCTCCCCTAGCAGTGGACTTGGAAAGGGAGAGGGAGGGAGGAGATGAGATGAGGGAAGGAGGGATTGGGATTGGGAGAGAGTGAGGGAGGGGGCTACAGCTGGGATACAAAGTAAACAACCTGTGATTAATATTAAAAAATTAAAAAAAAAAGAAATCAAAGCACACTGATGTCTCTAATGCCACCTAAAAACATTTGAAGAAGCTTTTTTTTTTTTTTTTTTTTTTTAAGTTTTCCAGTTTCCTTGCTGTGGTGATTTGAATGATAATAGCCCCCATAGACTCATATATTTGAATATTTGGTCACAGTAGGTGAAAACAGTTTGGAGTGTGGCCTTGTTTAGGAGGTGTGTCACAAGGGGTAGGCTTTGAGATTTCAAAAGCCCACATCAGCTCAGTCCAGTCTGTCGGTCTCTTCTCTCTCTCTGCCTGCTCATCATTAATTATATGAGCTCTCAATTACTGCTCCAGATGATGCCTGCCTGTCTGCCACCATGCTCCCCACTGTGGTCATGTACTCATGTACTAACCCTCTGAAACTGTGAACAAGTCCCCAGTCGAATGCCTTCCTTTATAAGTTGCCTTAGTCATGGCATCTCTTCGCAGCTATTGTGACTCTGACTAAGACAGTGGGCTTTGAGGTCTCAAGAGAATTACGCCATTCCTAGCTCTTGCTTTCCCTCTTCCTCCCTCCATCTCTGCCTTGTGGTTGTGGATGAATGTGTGAGCTCCCAGCTGTTTCTTTACTCCACCATCATGGACTCTGATCTGAAACCATTAGACAAATAAATGCTTTCTTTTATAAATTGTCTTGGTTGTGACATTTTATCATAGCAACAGAAAAGTAGCTACTACACTTACCTCTGAGTAAAATCCAAACTATTTCCAATGGACACGGGTAATAACAAGAATAATACTTGGGGAAAGTGTTATTAGTATTATGTAAGAAGAAAGATAATTTCTTTAAAGACACATGCTTGGGTTGTAGGTTCAACTCGCGTACTGTAAAACAACAACAAAGCCATGCTGTATGAATTTTAGAAAAACCAACGTGTAATTGCATGTCTTCAGAGTCTCATTAGGACAGTGCTTAAGCACTCTTTACAGATAAAACTTTCAATGGGTAAGAAATCTCATGCATAAGCAGCTGGGTGCAGTGACGCATGCTTCTCTTTCAACTCTTAGGAGGCAGAGGCAAGGGGACTGTGAGGTCATTACCAGCATATTGCCCTGTCATGCAATTAGCACGCAGGGATGCACTAATTTGTATCTCTGAGCCTAACAAAGCTCCATCTGAGGGATCTGGAGAATGGAGACCTTGTCTCAAAACAAATCAACCAGCCAACAAGCAGAAAAAGCAGTCATACACTGCATTCCTTCCATGAAATAATCCCCCAAACTCATTTCTTCACTGGAGTTGTCGTATACTAACCTGTATTTTCAATATTTAGGTTAAAGATTAGTCTTACACAATATTCCAAAGTACATAAAACCCTGTAAGCCTTATGCCTCTTTCTTCTTATCCTTTTCTCCACCCTCCCTTCCTCTCTTCCCTCCTTTCTTCTTTCTTTCCTTCCTTTCTTTGTCTTTTCAGTACTGGCAACTGCTGAACCCAAGGTCTTGCACATTCTGGGCAAGCACTCAGCCAGCCTGCTTTTACATTTTATGTTGAGACAGGGTCTCAACAAGTTGCCTGGACTGGCCTTGCATTTGCCTTTTTCTTACTCCACTCCCCAAGCAGCCAGGGGTATGTTCCTGCAGGAACTGGCCTGGCTTCTTTTAATTTTTCCATCTTAGGGAGAATTTAAGGGAAAGAAACCCATTCATTCTAAAATATACCTGAATGAAAACAGCTTTAAATACCAGCACTCCACAAATATTTAGAAGTATTAGTATTGTGTAGGAGTTAAAGCTTGGTCTCTGGCACTAGGAATGTGGAGTTACAACATGGCCCCAGACATTAGGAACACAGAGCTCCAGTGTGGCCACTGGCATCTGAAATGTATTCAAAGGTTTGCTTGCCATGTCCTTTGTGGAGGTGTGGTCTCTCTACCTCATAGAGATTATGTGAAATTTAAATAGGATTTATAGACAGTTGCTTAGATTTTAATGTGACAAAAAGAAGTCTAAAGAAAGAAAGGAAAAAAGAAAGAAAGAAAGCTGGGCATAGAGATATATGCCTGTAATTCCAGCAAGTGACAGACTAAAATAGGAGAATCACACATTTAAGACCAGCCTGGCTTCAGAACAGGCTCCAGATCTGCTAGAGCCACATGATGAGACATTGCCTCAAAGAGAGGTGGAAGAGGAAAGGAGAGGAGAAGGGAAGGAAGAAAACTAAATATCTGAGACAGCGTCAACGCACACCCTAGCTGGCCTTGCAAACTGTCTTAGTCAGTGTCCTATTGCTGTGAAAAGACACTATGACCACCACCACTCTTAGGAAAGCTTACAATTAGGGCTTCCTTACAGTTTCAGAAAAAAGGTACAGTATTGTCATGGAAAGAAGCGTGGCATGCAGGCAGACATGGTGCTGGAAAGGTAGCTGAGAATCCTACATCTGGATCTGCAGGCAGCAGGAAGAGAGAGACACTAGGCCTGGCTTGGGCTTTGAAAAAATGCAAACCCCATCCCCAGTGACACATTTCCTCGAGCAAGGCCACACCTCCTAATCCTTTCAAGTAGTGCCACTTCCTGGTGACCAAACATTCAAATCTATGAGCTTATGGGGGCCTTTCACTTTCAAACCACCACATTTACTGATGACAATGCATTGCTAATGAGCCTCAGTCACACAGCTGTTCTCACTGCCTCCTTTGAGCAGTCATTGTGAGCATATTGTCAGTGGTGTGCTCTGATGCAGTACTTTGTGTCCCAGAGCCTAATAAATAAAGCTCCAGTTAAAGAATTTTGAGAAACTATTGCACAATCACACTTATACACACCAAAGAAAGAAAGAGAGAGAGAGAGAGAGAGAGAAAGAAAGAAAGAAAGAAAGAAAGAAAGAAAGAAAGAAAGAAAGAAAGAATCTACCTCCCCCATGATCAGAACCTGCAAGATAGTGTCTAAAACTCCACCACATTTTTCAGTAATTCCCAAGGAACCAGGTGAACCAGAATAACTTTTTTCCATCCCACTGAGATATACTATTCAGTCTTATGTAATTGCTTTTCCTGCTATCTTCCCTGAGAATCAAATGACTCCCCACCATGGAGAAAGTGCTCTGCAACACTGGAATTATTATGAAACTTCTGCTAATCCTTTTTCTTTTATAAAATAAGGTCCCCTTTAAGAAATTGCATTAGATTTGACCTATGTGATACCTTAGTGACTGAAGAGAAATAGTTTCAGAGAATGTGCTGTAGGCACTTAAGAATGAGAATAACAAATAGCTGTTTTATGAAGTAGCCTTATGACATGCATCATCAAAACAGTATGGCTTCCTCTAAGTCTATACATTGACTTCCTGTCTATTAAAACATGCAACTGAAAATACGTAAAATAATCTTCAATGGTAGCATTAAGGAGGTTACTACAAAGAGTGCTTGTAGTTTGGAGGGACTATTGTAAAGTACAATGGTCATGTTATTTAATGATTCAGCAAACAATGAGTTTGGTGGTTTTGTTATTGCCAGGACTGTGCTGGGACCTAGAGATTGGTGGCCTTAAAAAGCTATGTTAGTGTTGGTTTGGCCATCTTCCTTCCTTGACACTGCCTAGCACTTGGCTGTCTTCACACTTTTTCTTCCAACTAGGTTCTCTCCCAGTCCAAGCAATTATATTGGTTCCAAGAACAGACTCTATACATTTGTCAACTTAATGAGTCTGTAGTAGGAAGACCCAGGAGGATAACTTGTAAATAAAACAAAGCCCTTAAAATTATATTTTAAAAAAGTTTAGCTTGTTCTTTCTGATAATGTCATTAATGACATCTATTCTACTGAGCTGTATCTCAAGGTGATGATATAGAAGGCATTTTTAAGATGTGGTGAAGCAGTTCATCAAAATGAGAACAGGAAAGCCAATTCATTCATTGCATATCCTGGGAGCAAAAGAAATAGAAACCATGTAGTTGGAGCCCCACCCCACCTCCCCACAAGGGTCAAGCCTCATTAACCTATTTCCATCCATTAGACCACACTGCTGAAATTTCTACTACCTCATAATAGCGCTTCTCCAGGCGCCAAGCTTCTAACCTGTTTGCAATAGGAAATAACCAAGAACCAAGCTGTAGCATTGGTACATATCTAAAGACAGGTCTGCTGCACTAATTATGCTCTCAATGGATGCTATGCACAATCCAACACCATGCCAAGAAAAATCTGTATAAAATAACATCGTTTTTAAACATTGGTAATTGATTATATATACATACAACTCTACTCCCTTTGGAAATCAAAACTCAGCAATAAATTTCAAACAGTTGTGGGGTGGCACAGGGGCACAGACCCAAGGAAAACTGAAGAGAAATAATAGCAGCAAGATTTTGGAATCTGGGAAATAAAAAGATAAATGGCGCCTGATTTAGCAGACCAGGAAAGCTGAACTGCAAGTTCAGGACAGTAGTAGAGATGTGGAAAGCAACCTAGAGCACCATGCCCCCAGGAACTCCACAATTCAAATACTGATAGGACTAAGGACTTCTAGAAGAAGAGATGAGATTAGGCTCAAGCCAGTTAGATCTTATGAATGTGGCAGCAA